AGCTACTCAAGTGAACATGCTCAGTAGCAGAAAGAAGAACATTCCTTATTTCCCCTTTGCTCTAACCATGGCTGTCAGACAGCAGTGGCAGCTCCAGATTAGCTCCAAAGTCACAGCTCTTTGGCTTGTTTGATGTAGCACAGGTGTTGGGGAGGCAAGAGGGTGCAGCCTGGAGCAAGGAGGTGCCACAGGGAAGCAGCTTTGTTTCAGCTGTTGCTATGGGAAAGGTTGCTTGTATTAAACATTTCTGCTGCTTTATTTACTCTTGCACACACAGAGGTTTCTCTGGAGAGTCAACAGGGGATTTGGCGAGGAGCAGAGCCAAGAAAACCATGTCTGTGTACCTTGGGACTGAACTGCTGAGTGGAGTCTCTGGTGTCTGATACAGGCTGTGCCATGTTTTGTTTCTCAGCAGGAACAGTGAAGGTCTATGTTCTCTCCTCAGCAATATATTTTCATGATACACTATTTTGCGTCAGCCACTCTCTGTCAGTTTGGTTAAAACTAGCTTTAAAATTGGTTAAACCTGCCTTACAAGCCATTCAAAGTTTGTCAGGGGATCAGATGAACACAGAGATGCATGCAACCTGTGGCTGCGTTGTCTCATTTCTTTAGGAAATAAAAATAAATATATGCTTTCCACAGAATGGCCAACAGCTAATTTTGCACAACTAATGAAGTCATCTCTTGCATATGACCACTATGGCAATGCCAGTTGCAATTTCAAACTGGAGGGGAGGGTATTTTTGTGCTGTTTGTTCATTTTCTCTCTCTCCAAAAAGCCTACCTTGCTTGTAATACAGACTGGCTGTTCTTTGATTACTGATGAAATCAAAGATGCTGCATGTGGGTGGAGGAATGCATTGTCAGACTACAGCATACCCAAAGTGGTTTTGTGTGAGTTTGTATCCTAGGGAACCACCGTGTTTCTGTGCCATGCTCTGCGTGTTTTATTATCTTAATTAATATTCCTTTCCGCCATCAATTATGCCTTTGATTCAAAGTTGTGGAGAGTACCAGCATGTTCTGGAAGCAAGAAGGGAGTTGAAAACACCCCCAGATACTGCAGATCCAGCTCGCCTGCTAGGACCAAGTGTATTTCATAGAACAGATGCTACTGAGCACAAAGTTTCCATTGTATATGCCTGACTGTGTTCATGCAGAGTCCCTGCAAAGCAAGCAGGGACATCACTGTGTTGCTGGAATTGGAATAGTAACGTAATTGGACTCTTGCAAAGTCATTTAATTTGAAGTGCTAATAATCTGACTTCATCTGATTAGCATCCAGACCAAACAGCTATTGTTCAGGTCAGGCACACAACCCAATTATTACGAAGAGATTTTATCTATAAATGCAAAAGAAAGGGGAAGCAGCAAGATAAAGAGTTAAGTCAACAGAGAAACAATATAAAAATTTATCTGAGCTATTCACTGGTTGAGTGAAACATCCCCCAGACAAAGGAATTACAGTTTTTCAGAGATAGAAACACAGGCTCAGTGACGTGGGGAGGCTGTGGGCTTTTCCAGGATCTCCAGGCAATGGGGGAAACTCCTGAATGCTGGGGATGGTCCCGGAAGACAAACTGCTCTTTTGCAGTAAGCATAGCATGGGTCAGGGTGGGAAGGAGAATGAACCCCCTGCAGAACCTTGCACTGAGGATAAATAGAGGCATTGAAACACCAGGAAGAAGAAGGGGCTGGGACAGGCTTCCAAGAAGTGCCTTTTGAGGAAGAGGAGGCTCATTCGATACACCTGACAAAGGAGATTGCTCAGAAGCAGAACAGTGCTTGTCACTGTGCTGTGTCTTTGTGGTTTCCTACTGCCCTTCTTTCTGCTTGGAAGGACTCCCCTTGGGTGGGCAGCTCAGGAGCCCATGGAAGAGGCAGGTGAAATATAGCAATGTCCCAATTTCCCTCCTCAAGATGGTGGTTTTGGACAGCAAACAGTCCCTTTGTGTTATGTTAATGCTTTGTGAAAAACCTTTGTTCTAGTTTGATCGTGATGCTTTTCAGCTCCCTTGCTGTAAAGGTGCAGCTTCCTTGCAGACTTTGCTTATCTAGGCATAAAACCATTAGTGAGAGCACTGTGGTAGAAGATGTTCTTGCAGAGCAGATCATCCCCACGTTTAATGGCAGAACGTGAGCAGTAAAATAGCTCATAGAGACAGAGGGGAGAGAGACCTGTGCACCCTGCATATGCTGTTAAGACACATAGACCCAGAAAAGCAGGCTGCTGGGTGGCCTTTTGGCAGCTCCTTTGTCCTCTCCTGGTACATTGCATTCCCTGTCATTGATGCCATACTTCAATCCTTGCCTTTGGAAAGTAGTTGTGAGCAGAGGTATGCAGAGTGGGTGATGATGGATTGTTGCTCCCACTGCCACAGGAGGGATATGGCATCACCTCATGCTGCTGACGGCCTCAGCACCCACAGTCAGAAAGGCCACCCCCAACTTGCTGTCCCTTCATAGAGTGCTCCTACCTGCCTTCTCCCTGAGTCAGCTGCCTGTTTTGCCCACGCATACACATTGGCCCTGGTTTGTGAACAAGGTAAAGATAGAACAGGTCAGCTGGTTGTTGGTGTGACAGTACTCAAGGATGTGCTCTGAGGGCACTCACATCTTGGGGAGTGGCTACCATGGCTTAGATTGGGTGGAGTGAGTGGGCCATGAAGTAAGAAGTGGTCCTTGCCTCAGGAAATCTGTCCATCTCTGCTCAGCCACTCCCCACAGGCTCATATTGTATTCCCTTGAAAGAAGTTTTCTGGGAAAATACAGCAATTCCCATACATCATGTTGCCCCAGTTTCGGGCACGATCTGCAACTGTAGTGTGTTTGTAATCTGTATACTGCAGAGAATCTTGCCTGCAGCACTGGTGCTATGACATCCAATTTCCTTCCACAGAGAGTCTAGGGAAATGTTTTTTGTTAGAGCTGGCTTGTTGGAAAAATGCTGATGAAGTGAAACATAAACACATTGTGTTGGAATTTTCATGGGAAAATGTTGGTGAAGGGTTTCAGCATGCCTGGAATGCATCTCTGCATCACTAATCCTCCTTCTCCGTCTTGTATTCATATACAGTGCAGCTATAATATTACAGAAGAAATATTTTAACTTCAGCCGATTAAAAATTAAGGTCAAAATGGAATGTACATAAATCCTCTCACCTTTCAACTCTTTTCACAACCTGGGAAAAACACTGTCTTGTGCAACCTCAGTACTTCCTACTGGCAACAACTCACATGTATCACCACTGCTGGAATTTCTGTTCATCCTTCCAAATGAAATGTATTTCCTCCTCTCTGTCATTACAAATGAATCAAATGGCTCCATGATAACATGCTGGTGGAATTAAGCACTTGGTAAAAGAGCCAGAACAACATAACATTTACTTGTTTTCCAAGTAGGAAACTAGTGGAATTTTACTGTCACGCAAATGTAGAAAATCCTGGAAGAAACTGCAGGCGTTAAACCCAGAAAGGTGAATGCACGTATTTAGAATGCTGTATGGAAAAAAATGCCTCTTAAATGCATACCCCCCAAAATCAGTGTATGGTTTTGAATCAGTACAGCTTGTTAATGGGTAATGCAAGACTGTGCTCAAATGATGAAAATCCTCAAGTTCTTGATTTCATTTTTATGATAATGGAATGGAAAAATAAAAACCAGTTTGTAACTACCAAGCAAAGAGAGCATGGTAAGGGCAGCAGTTCAGCTTATCTCCAAGTGAGGTGTCTTTCTCACAGCAATGCAGGGACTTTTTGAAAATCTATTTTGACCATATGCTCCTGAGTTAAATGGTACTTTCTGTGTAGGAAAGGTTTTCTTTGTGTTCTGAGGTTTATGATCAGAACCTTTAGCAGCCCTGGACTCGCCAATAGGGTCCTTGCACTCAGTGGGCATACTTCTTTCTCTTCACTGTGGATGTTGGCTGGTGAATAGACCTATATGTGTGAATACGCATGTGTATTGCTATAATGTTATGCCATTTATATATATATATTATGTATGTGTGTGTTTATAAATGTAAAATAATATGAAATAGTGTATATAGTTGCTATGAAATTGCAGAATCCAGAAGGCTGAGATCACTCTTATCTCTTCTGAATGGTGCTGCTAAAACATGAAGACCAATGTCCATTCTCCAGGGCTTTACTTCCCTGTTGGCTAGCACCAGGCTTGCTGGTGGGGTGAGGAAAAATTTGGCTACAGTGCCAGGCGTGATTTCCCTGCCAAGAAAGAGCTCAGGTGCAGCTGGGGCACATGGGTGGAAAGAGATAAGTCCTTCATAGAAACTATTAATAATCAACTCTCTTAAACTGAGAAGATTGTCATTGAAACAACTGGCAGCACACAGGGATGCTTTAGTAATTTAGAAAATGCTGAAAATCCCGCTGGCTTTCCCCCAGTGCTCGTGGTTAGATTGGGGTGAGGTTTTGACATCATTTTCCTAGAAGAGAGAGAGAGATTACATAAAAGGGCAGGCAGCCTATAAAAATGTCCTCACCCAGCATGGGCAGGAACCAGGGTCCACTTCTTTGAAGGCTGCTGAAGCCTGTAGCTGCACAGAAAGAAAATATAAATCTGGGAGAAATGACTTCTCTTGCAGACAGCTGCTAAGATCACCTTGCATGTTTTTCTAACATTTCTAACTCTTGTTTTCTGATAGTGTTCTCAGTTGGACAGAAGGTGTCTGAACCTGCTCGGATGATGAGGAAGACAAAGTATTTCTGGGGAGCCTTTGCAGGAAGAGGCAGCAAGTGGGAGAAAGCGGCCGGGGAAAATGCAAGGATGCTGCCCAGGGCCACACATGAGGAGAAGAAGCAGCAAGAAGCAAAGAGGAGAGGGAAGCTGAAAAACATGGCAGGAAAATTGCTGAAGGTGGTGGCCAGTGGAAAAGAGGCAGCGGAAGAGAAGGCTGGTGGTGTGGAGATGGCAGGGAATTTGCTGAAGATGGCAACCAGTAGGAAGGGAGTGGAGGGTAGGGTGCCTGCAGGTAACCTTGAAGTTATCTCTGGATACAGTCCTGGACCTTCTCTGCCTCTCCCAGCACTGCAGGCTCTTGTTTTTGTTAGTTTCTGGAGTAGGTGCTTTACATTTCCCTCCTCCCAATCCTTCACCTGAGTTCTTGTCCTTCATGAACTGTGGGCTTGCTCTGTATTTCACTTGCCCTTTGCCTCACAAGTACTTCTCTCGCTGTTCTTATTTTTACCCCTGCAAAGACTCCTGATATGTCTTGTGAGAAAAACAGTGTACTTGTGACTGACACACTGCTGAGCGTGACTGTGCTGTTCTTCCATAGGCAGGGAGGGGGAGGTAGGTTGTACATGAATTAATTGTTCCCAGTAAACATCTCCTGTGTGTTGCCTGTATTGAGGTAGGACAAGTGCAGCTTGTTAGACCCCTCTGGAACAGCTTGCCCATTGTTTTGCTGAAGATCCTTGCATCAGCCCTTCTCTATTTTGTGTCACATTTGTCCCTCCAGTCCTGTTTGATTTTATTCTTATTACATAGATGAGGCATTTTCATAGATGAAAGTTAAGGTACAGGTGATAGCTTTTTGCCAAGAAAGGTTTGACCAGATGATCCTTGAGGTTCCTTCCAACCTGGTATTCTATGATTCTGATAGTGGAAGCTCATATGCTTCTCATTCTTCACTCTATACCCAAAGCTGTATCCTGAATAAGCTTCAGAGTCCCACTGCTTCTGGCCTTGTTTAACTTTCCCTGGGTTTTCATCAGGTTTGATTTTTCCTCTGAGTTCTGCTCCAGATACCTTTGGACAAATCTTCTTAACCCTTTATTGCTCATTTTTGTCATCTATAAAATGCATAGGACCTAATCTGCAGCTGTTGTGAAATTACATTTAACTGTTAGTGGTGGGCTGGCTGTGGTGGGTAAGATACTTCAGAAACAAACACTGGTGGAAAACTTCTTGCAACTACTGAACTTCAAGGATTTTGTGTCTGTCTTGGTGGGGTGTCTGGTGATCAGGACAGTGGCTCAGTCGCCACAGCTTCTTGCAGACATGGAAGTCATGGGGGGGTTATGTGAATTCTCATTGCTGAGACACTGCAGATAGGTAGCCCACCTTCCGATTTTCACCTTTGGGCAAAATAGCACATTGGCCATTTGGCCTGGTTGAAGTCATGGCAGGGAGAGGGCTGTGCAGTCCCAGTCTAAGACAAGAACTCACTGGCAGGAATGACACCCTACCAGACTGTGAACAGGCAGGAGCGACCTCACAAGACAGCCTGCAGCACTTTGGTCCTGCCAGGGTTTCTGCAGAGAAGGCAGAGGATTCCTTCTAGGGTTGACTTTCACCTGTTGGCTCTTGCAGAAGATGTCCCTTCTCTAATGCTTTTCTTCTGGACAAAAGATACATTCATGGTCATTAATGAACCTGCATTGCTCACATGAGGAGGTCTGCTGGGATGATGGCAGAAAGCTACAGATGACTAGTCTGCAGGCTTAGTTAGCCTGGAGGAGAAAGGATGAAAGAAAGCAAGAGGAAAGAAACGCTTGCCCTGAGGAAACTGAGAGGTGCTAGTGCTAGACCTTACGGGAGGTGATCTTGAGTAGGTTCTGAGGAATTTTGGGATACTTATAAACTACATGCTTCAGTACTCAGATGTTAAAGTGATGGGTCCCATAGAAGAGGGAAGAAACATTAAGTTGTCTTGTTACTCTCTGTGTTGCAGAAGAAGCCATCTGTGGGTTCATTGAGCAAGGAAAATTTCTTGAAGCTTGTCATCATATTTATAATCTGGAGCATTCTGGAAACGATGAGATGGGAAAGTCTGAATCACTTTATAAGCTACTGGCTGAACGAATGTGGACTGTGGTGGGCGAAGCTCTCAGTGGAAGTGGTAGGATGTTCCTGGAGCCATTGCAGTCAGTGGGGGAATCACTGAAGTGGGAGAAGCAGAAGGAAGCAGAGAGGCTTGGCAGGAGCCAAGAGACTGGGCCTGTTTCCACCTGGAGTCCAAACTTCTGGAGGAAAGAACTGGAGGAACAGCTAATACAGTACATGACAGCCCGGATTCCCCTGCTGAGTTCCTCTGCTAATGCAAATGAGAATGCATTAAACCAGCATCTGATTCAACTGGAAATGTCATTTCTCCCCAGCCTGGAGCACGGAAGTGATGTCTTTCAGGAAGCAGGACTGCTCAGCACCTACACCTACTGCTGTCATGCCTCTTTGTCTTCTCACCTTGCCATGCTTACTGACAGTAGCCATTTCAGCTTCAGCCAATGCCTTTTAGTTTATGAATGGGGCCTTAAAATGTATAAAAGGTATGTTTGAGGGACTTCCTTTTCTGTACATTTTTTCTATGTCTCTATTCAGTTCCAAGCATGATCCCTGCTTCCTGGTAAGGCAGTGATGTTCAGGACTCTTGTTGAGTTTAGACCGGCCCACTCCCTGCTTTATCTTCTGTGCTCTCAGAATCACATCCTTTTTGCATTGCAGTACTGCCTTTTTCTAAGTCATTGGTATTGGGCTCAGGGGCTTACCAGAGGTAGGCAGTTATTTCTCTGCTGGACTCCTGTTGGACATGCATGGTGTCCTGCTTTCTTCACCAGTTTCTGTTCTTGTATTAAGACTGTTTTAGCAAGGTCGATGATACTCCAGTTACCCCAGTATAATTTTCTCTTGCCTTTATGTCATCATGGTGCTCTGCAGACTTTTCTTGTTGGCTCCATGGTTCTCTTGTTGCTTTATCTGGCTTGTAGTTTGACCAGTTGTTTTTATATTTTCTGCATTAGTGTTTAGGTAACAAGAAAAACATATAGCAGGTTATTAAATTCCTGCCCAAGATTGAGAAAATGGATGTGGCTTTCCCCATGATCTGAAGAGCAGCACAGCTGGGACCTTTTGTCTCAATGTGAATTAAAAGTCTGTGGGTGTCATCAAAGCCTGAAGCTTTCTTGTGATGTCTTTTTGTGTGGCAGTGGTAGATGAGGTGTTTGATTCTCTGAGTCCGTGGTTACTTTGGTATTTTACAGCTCCAATCTACTTATACCCTAATAGTTTTCAACCCTTTTGACTGCTTCCATGCAAGTTTCCATCCTTTGTTCCTGGTGTTGATTGCACTTATAAATGCTTGATTATAAGTTCATCAGGTGGGGTCTTCCCCTCACCAGCTCCAGAAGGAGGGAGGCAGGGTGGTGAGTACATGCTGGTGCATGCTGTCCTCATAGTCCTCATAGAATAGTTAAGGTTGGAAAGGACCTTAAGATCATCAAGTTCCAACCCCCCTGCCATGGGCAGGGATGCCTCACACTCAATGGGTCAAATGTCACCCATGTCACCCAAGTCTCTGTGCAACCCGTCCTTGAACACCTCCATGGGAGACGTGTGGCTAGGATACACCCATTCTACTGCTGCTTTTAAAATGGTAAAATTTTTGAGTGACGGATTGATGAAATATTGAAAACTTGCATGGAATTGGAGATGAATAATTATGTAATCTAAATATATAAAGGAAAGCTCAAAGACAGGAACAAAAATCTTATGCAAATGCTAAATTCCTTCAATAAAAAAAAAAAAAAGGAAAAGCAGCCCATGACTGTAGTAAGGTCAGAATGTGGTGAAGAAAGTGGAACTAAAAACAGCAAAGATTCCAAACTTAACTATTTGGGTTTTCCTCTTTGAGTACAGTTACAACCCTAATGAAAGCCCATGTGTAGTTGCAGTTGTCCTGGTATATAGCTGCTTCTTATTTAATTCAGAGAGAATACATGACACTTGTAAAATGGTGCATCCATGAAAGCGTGGTTGGGTGACTCTGCCCAAGCCCATGAAGGAATTCAGCAGCAGCAATGAGGGAAGGGGAAAGGGAAACAATGAGCAAAATATGTAATTTGGGCAGCAAATACAGGAAGAAGGAAAAGAAAGAGCACAGAAGAATAGTTGACAAAGGTTATGATAATAAATCCCATGCTGCAGCTGCCCTGGCACTGCAAACACCACTGGGTGCTTGCAGGGCACCTCATTTGCTTTGCGTGAGGCCGTGGAGCCAAGCAGGGGGTGCCCGGCGGGTGATGGGCTGTGGAGCAGTGGGAAGCTGCCCCTCTGCTCTTGTTTCTGTACACAGTGGCAACGAGACACATCTGAGACCCAGACAGACCCCCCAGCACAGCCTTTCCTTTGATGTACGGTGTCTCCTGTGGATTGTTTTGAAGACTGAGGAAAAGTTACTTGCAGTCACCAAGGTAAGAACGAAGATTGGGGTAAGAGTTTTACCCCAATCTGCATGTTTTATTCACATGGTTTTAAAACTCCTGTTATTAAATTAACTGCTCTCTTGCTAGATGAGCCAGTTCGGCTCAGGTGTGCTTGAGTCCAAGCTCTCCATCTTGGCCAAGTTTCATTACAGAGCCCAGAACAAAGCTCCATGACTATCTTCTGTCAAAAGGATGCTGCCCTGCCCTTGCTGCTTAGCAAAGAGATACTGGGACGTTTGCAAATCTCCCTCTGTCTCTCTGATGCATCTTTTTACTGCTGCAATCTGCTCTGCTCAGAAGCCAATGTATCTGGAAGAAAAGGGGTTATGGGTGAAATCCACTTCCTTCTTGAGGGCCATTTCAAGATGCTATTCCTCTTCTCTCCAGCTGCTAATGAGCCCACAGTGGGGGTTTTAATAGCCCTTTTGCCTCAGCTATGCACGATACTGAGGCTGCAGGCTTTGCCCTCACAGCCTTCCCCATCCTGCTGGACTAACACTGCTGAGGCTACAGCAATTATTTCCAGAGCCCAGCACAAGCAATCCTGCAGCTATTGCACACCCGGTACAGCCCTCAAGTAAGGTCAGAGCAGGGCTTCCTGCCTTGTGATCTCACTGCTGACCTCAGCTCCAGGGCTGCAGCATTTCTCTTTTCTCAGCAAAGCTCCCCCTTTGAAGAATGTTAGTGAAGCACATGGAATACAAATGAAGTAGGAAAGATGCATTGTAGCAACGGGGAGCTCCAGGGGAAACCATGCTATTTGGAAAACTCAGCGTGGCCTATTAGATTCAGCTAAAGCCAAAATGCAACAGCAGGAGTTACCATACTTAAATCACTTGCTTTCCCTTTCCACCAGCCCCTGGGGAGCAGAGGAGGGGAAATTCCATGGCAAACTGCTGAATCATCCAAGGGAAAGTACTCTCAATTGCAGAGATTTTCCTTAAGACCTATTTCCTGAAGGAGAGCATGAAGGTAGTGGCAAACATGGAAATAGAAGTGCCAGCTTGTGACAGGATGCTTAAAGCCTGCTGATTTCAGGGTTTAACAATGAGGATCCCTATGGCCTGTTTCTAATCATTACCCTGGGGAAGACCACATGTTCTTAAGGTCTGTTTTTAGAACCTATTTTGTTGAAGGAAATGACTACTCAGGGTAGTGCTAAGGTTACCTTAGAGCAAGTCATTGACAAGCCCTCAAAGATGCTGACTAACAGTAATGGAGAACTTAAACTTTTTTTTTGTTCACTCTAATGTAAGAGCTGGAGAAAGCTTTTGTTTAACCATGAGCTGTTTTCCTGATACACCATGCATGGAGCAGGCTCACCTAGATCTGGCCATGGTTGTACTATGCTGCCCTGAGCTGGCTGCATTTTTTTGTGCCACCTTGAATGTAGAGCATTGCAGCTCTACACAGTGCCATGTTGTGCATAGAAAACAGAGCTGGAATTGCCGGAGTGTGTGGCACAGCATAATCTTGGCTTGCTTCAAACCTGGCCAACTTAGGACCAGCTCCAGGTTCAAGCTAATGAGATTAAGTAGGGATGAGCTGACTCCATATGGAAAAATGATGGATGTCTCTTTACTCAGCTCAGTGGAATAGCTGATAAAACTTGTTTTATCCTTCTATTTCTTTTTCTAGGATACTCCAGCCTTTCATTATTCCAAATACACAGGAAGCTGCCCAAGAGCAAATATCCAGTCAGTTATCTCTGGGTGACTGTAGTATATAATCATGACTGTAAATCACCTGGTGTGTGTTTTGTCACTTCAGTGGATGACTAAGTTTTTCTAAAAGAAAAGAGACTGACCAAAATAAGCTATGGTTTGCTTTGCTTGTGAATACCTGGCTTGTCACTGCTGGTGCCGGCCTGATACCTGTGCAGACTGAAAGCACTTTAAACAGAAATTAGTGATGAGAACTCTGACCACATCTGAAGGTGCTGAGAGCTTAGATGCCACGTGGGACTCAAAACCACTTCCAAACACCGCTGTGGGGAACTCAGTGCTGCACAGAGGCAGTGTTCCCTCAATCTGCACATGTCCAGGGCAAGAGGGTTTTGTGCCTTCTGAGGCTGCAAGGTTGGGGAACTAGAAATGATGGTGCCATTGACTGGGTGTTGATCTGTCACTGCCTTGCTGTAGTGGGGAATTTTACATGAGTGTAAGGCAAACCCTCCAGCATGATGTCACGGTTCATTCTGGTACTGAGAGGTGGAAAATGAACTTTCTGTCGCCTGCTTCTGCAGCCTCAGCTCAAAGCTGTCTCTTTGTCCAGAAATGGAGATGGCAGGGCCAGACGTACACACATGGACAAAAACTCAAGGCAGGTTTACACTGGCCTGCAAAGGATCACTTGGGTTTGCATCTTTTTCCCTCCCTTCATATTTTCAGGTAGATGAAAGGAGGGCTGAGAAGTTCATGTGCTTTGGAGTTTGGGCTGAGGCTCTGCTGCTGTCCAAATGAATAAAGCTGTGTGGTTGTTCTGCCCCCCTGCCTGCTGCTGTATTGGCGGTGCACTCCCACACATGCTGAGCATCTTAGCCAATTTTGACCTCATTCAATAATGATGTAGGGGTCTCAAGGATGTTAAGTTTTTGCATATGTTAGAACAGCAGCTGGACAGATGAGGGACACAATCTATAACTCAGCCCTCTGCATTTTCCGAGAGGAAGTGGTTGGTGGGGCAGTCAGCACAGGTGAGCTGGTCATCCATGGATCTAAAGCTTTACAACATTGGGTGCCATGTCTTGGTCAGACAGGGAGGAACAAGGAGGAAACTGGGTCTGTTTATTACAGCAGAAATTCTGTTCCTCTCCATGTTGGAGCTTTGGTGCCTGAGGTGTTTGTATTAATTCAGACACATCATCTGATGTGTCTGAGTACCATGGCTCAGCAAGTTACTGCCTTGCAGTTGCTAACTAAATGTGTGCTTTGTCCCATTGGGGAGCAAGATCTTTGTGTTGGCTTAAGCTGACACATTTTAGTGTGCAGCTGTGGGAGGCTAGAAATGTTTGTGCAGCTCGACTGGGATGTGTTATCTCAGCATGTTGCATTTACACAATTGCTCACTGTCAGGTGATGGCACTCGGGAAGAAAGGAATTCTTCTTGGGTTGTTTACAACTGCTTATATGTCTTTGATGAACACTTCAGTGAGTATGCAGAGCAGTTTTTTGAGTATACTTTTGATGAAATTCTTAAGTGACAGCCACAAATTTCCTAATTCATCAGCCAGAAAAGATCAAAGACAGAAAGGGAAGATCAGACTTTACATTCTTTCTATTTCCTTGGGGGAAGATGGAGAAATGAAAGAATAAATAAGCGAGACAGACTTTTGAGTTTAAAGCTTCTAGAAAGGTCAGATCATGTTTTAAGCAATGAGGCCTTTCTCTGCACTGTTAGTTTTGGTTTTACAGCCCATTCAAACTAACATAAGCCAGCCAAGTCTTGGGAAATTTCCCAGAATGCAGCCTCATGGGGCTCATCTCACCATGACAGTAGCTCTAAACACTAACCCAGCTCCTCTTGGCACTCACAAGTCCCTAGCTCAAGTGAGGGAATGCTTTTAATTAATGCTGGCTGGTTTATGCGGATGCTGGTTGGAGCTAGGAAGGGTGGAAAATCTCAGCTACAGTAGCTGGCAGCACAGAATAATGTCTAAGTGTTGTTTTGCTGTGTGGGTGCCTTCATCTGAGCTAAGCGAACTAGGGAAGACTGTAGATAACCCGAGCTGACACTGGGATGAAAGGAAGCTGCAAATCATTTAAGCTCAAACAAACAATGTAGAACAAAACAGAATAATGTTATTAGGTCAGCTGGAAAATAGCCAGGCTTTGGGTTAAATGAGACAGCCAAAAAATAGAGGCAGAAATTCATCAAGTCCAAATGCATAATGAGGCTGGGAAACCTAACTCTTAACGAATGCCATTATATCTCAACTGTTTTTTCTCTGTTCTTTCAATATTTAGAAGGAAGTAGGGAAAGCCCTGAAAGAAGCCTTTGATATTGGGAAACCCCCTTGTGCAGATGCTGCAGTGATTCAGGTAAACTGGTGGGGACTGAAAAGCTCTTGTAGTTTGGGGCAGTCATGGTTTCGCACACAAATATGTAGGTATTTGGCAAGACCCAGTTTTGAATGTCTTAGGCTAAGCTTGATGTGTTAAAAGTTTGCAAGTTAGGTGCCATCCTTAAACTGTATCTGTTTGCTCCCAGACTTGTTTTTGTCTTGTGCATCTGTAAAGAGAACTAAGCTAAACTACGTAAAAAATGATGAGCTGAGATTAGCTGATTCAAGCTGAAGCTGCATTTTTATATGTTCACCTGGATTTTCATGTAACCTGTTTGGGAAGTCATGGTGTATGTTCTGCAGAGCACCTCTATAAAACCAGTGAAAGCTGTTGAGCCATGGCAGGTCCCCATATGTGGCAGTGCAAATGTGACTGCTGCCCTGATGGGTTAGCCAGTGCAAGGGACTACTGCAGAGCACAGTGAAGGTGAATGTACAAAGGGCATTGCAGAAGCATGCTCTGCTGGTGTTTGAGCAGTATACACCACGGCCAGAGGGCATTTGGATAAAGACTCTCAAAAGGCTTAAAATAAATCCCGGGGTTTACATGCTCAAGTGATGCTAGAGATCAGGGACAGGCTGTAGCTGCCGTGACTGTATCCTTCTTTCCTGCCACCACCACAGTGGCTGTCCTGTTTCAGGTCACAAGAGAGGGAAGTAGCCCCATGGTCTTTTCGGATGGCAGACAACCTCAGGCACCCCACTGGAGGCTGGTGGTGGCCATTGCAGATCAATAGCAGCTGGCCTTCCTGGAAAGGATACAGCTTCACCTGGCAAAAAGAGGCTTTTCTGACACAACTCAGACCCAGGTGCCATGTGCAGAGCTCACAGAGACGACTGCTCCCTCCTCACCTTGCCCCATCACCTTGGAGTGGTGGAGCAGCGATGTACTCAGTGATGTACCTGTTCTAGGGTAGCTTTTTATTTCCCACTTTTAGCTGACAGAACAAAAGTTTCTAAAGGGAATCAGGCCAAAGTCTGGTTGAATGCTGTAGTCCTCATATCTGCAACATTTGGCCATGCTGAAGCATGACCAAATTTTGCTCTGTTACGTATGTAACTGACAGGCTAGGATGCTCCAGGGCAGGTGATGGAAAAGCCTGGATAAATAGGCAAGCCTTATGAAATTACCTCCTCCTCATCAATTTTCTCAGGGTGACACTTATAGATCAGATAGAAAATGAATGAGGTGTCATGGAAACTCATCAGCTGTGGTTTCCTGACACTTTGGGCTGGCATATATTATCCTGTCCATTTGGGCGAACTGTTACATCTGTTGTGAGCAGTGGAAAAACCCATTCCTGATGTGAGTCACCCTTTGTCTGTGGCTGGTGCTTCCCAGAGCACTAGGAGAGCGCAGTGTATGAGCCCATCTGTCTCCTTTTATCCATCTGGCTCTCCTCCCCTTGCAAGCTTTTGTTTCCATGGAGCAACTAATGGGCAGCATTACATTACCACCTGCTCCAGGCTGCCCAATAGGGAGTGGATTTTGGCTGTCTGGCACACAGGCACCTGGGCTCCCCAGCTGGGGTCAGCATGGTGAGGCAGACACCATAGGGTTTAACGTGCATTGCTGTGTCAGGCATGAGAGGTGGTGGCTGGGGAGATGATGCCTGTCTTCTTCAGTCACTCCTGGTGGAGGAGCAGGGCAGTGAGAGCTGCCTAACCTTCTTTATAGCATCTGAATCCAAGTTTGTCTGTGAGGGTGTCACAATGAAGTGCAGGTGCTCCTGCAGATAGTAGGTCTTTGACTGAGCTGAGCTGCCAGGCTGGACATAGCTAGCAGAGAACATCTATAGGGATAGGCTCTTCCCCAAGCACAGGACTTGATTCCAGCCTGTTGACTACAATGAAAGTGACGGTAGCAAAGGTAGAGGATCAGACATTAAAATCAGGCTTCTAAAAATTCCTTTTATTTCCACAAAGGCTCTCAAAACCAAACCTGAAGTTGTTACCCAGAAGGCAGGGGGATATGCAGCAGCATGAGGGGTAGGATGTATTCCAGCTCACTGCATAGGGAACAAATGGCTTTGGTCTGCTCTCCTCTCATGCCTTGAAATCTACAGATACTAACAGAGAAGACGCAGGCTGCCTGGCATGTCAGTGAGAGCCTGAGTGAGAAGGTGGAAGCTGTATGTCTGGAAGAGTGCCTGAGGTTCCTGGAGAGGTAGGAAGGATGCTGTTTCCTCCTTGGCAACTTCCTCAGTGCTCAAAAGAAAGAAATCCTGATAAAGCAACTGGTGGTGCACTGTTCACCTGGACCTGCCATTGCCCTTCTTCGGTTTGATGGCTGTTTCCCATCCAGCTGTTACTGAAGAGGCAGCATTTCACTGCTCTTCATGTGCTCAGCATTTGCGGTTGGAGTAAAGCTGAGGGAACAAAGTGCACCTGGACTTGTCTTGACAGGTTAAAGCCTTGGGGGATGTTCTGGAGAGGCTCAGACCTAAAAACAACCAGAAAGAGGGGCAGCCATATGGCCACTGTCCAGGCTTGGTCCTGCTGTAGATCCCGTTTCGGGGAGTGAAACTGTGCATGCTGAAGACAAATACTCATGGAATGTTTCTTCCATTTGCTGCTGATCTGATGCTGTCAGATGTGTAATGAAGCACACCAGTTAAAGATGTGTCTTCCTGTTTTAATTTAGCTATGAAAATGAAGTAAGAAACTTTCTCCAGCTTGATGGCTGCCCAGAGATCTACAGTGGCTTATCGATCCTGGAGAACTGCTGCATTCTCAGGTTAGAAACCAGGCCCTAGTAGCATGGGAAGTGAAATTAATTTTCTGCAGTCTGATTCCTTCTAACTCTGCTATGGGGTCAGCCTTGCCTCCTTGGAGCTGGTCATCCAGCTCCATGCACACCAGCCCTTAAGCATGAAGGGAACCAGCTGCAGTCAGCAAGACCCTTCAGTGCTGTCCCAGGAGAGGGAGACTCAGGTAGGGGCTGTATCTGTGGCCAGGGCCACGATTGCTGCATTGGCAGCATCATGCTGCTGCATCTTGCCTGCTCCCAGGCCCTGCAGGTGCAGGAGCCGTTTCCTGTGCTCCACCATCCTACTCTTCCTGGTGCCCACGACACTGAGGCAGGCAGCAATGCTGTGTTGCATGTGGGAACATTATTCTGGCCAACCCTGCCATGTGTTGTTGTGTGATTCCTTTCCCTGGCCTCATTCTTCTTCATTAAGAAAGCCTCATAAACATTGCACTGAGATGCATGTGCTGGTGCACTTCAGGGTAAGCCCAAGCTTAAGTGCTTTGAAACCTAGCTGAACATGACAGGCTTTCCCTGGGGTTGCTAGGAAGGTGGGAAGCAATAATGAGCAGAAGGATGGGGGAGGCTGTTTGCACCTATGAGCTAATTTCAGGAGTGCTTGCAGCAATGAAGAAAACAAGGCTGTTTCTCTTCCTCCTGTGTAAAATTATCCAGGGATCTCTGGAGTCAGCAAAATGCCCAAATCCAGCATACTTGACATCAGAGCCTTGTGCTGAGTTTTGTTTGTTGTATTTCCATGGTGCTGGTCCTGAATCCTAGACTGAATACTTATGAGGCTCTTTTATGTAATTCTTTACAGTGATACTGAGAATGAAGTTACACAATGAGTTTTTCCAGAAAGTAAAATGTCCAGTTTCAAGCTGGTGACCATTTTAACCAGGATTTCCTGACTTGAGGGTTGTTCTGATGGAAGATAATTGCTTGTCTTGTATTTGTAGGTGTCAGAGGCACACAGGATGTTCATCCAGCCCTGTTTATCAAGGCCCCCTTATGCCTACTGCTTTCTGAAATACTGACTTTTTATCTAAACTCACTAGTGATGGATACAAGTGGCATCTGTGTGCAGTGAGCTTTTGTGTCCTTCTGGCAGTATCTTAATGAGAGCCATCCAAAAGATGGGTACACATATGCAAGCCACTGAGCTAGTCCTGGACCTGAGCACGTGTCTATTCAATTTAATGATGTTTTGGTTACAGTAGGAAGAGTTTCGATCTGAGAGAACAGCCTGATTTCATTGATTTCATCTGATCAGTACTTTCTATGTACTTTTTTTAACAGGGCTGTGTGGCGTAAGCTAACATACATTTACAGTGCCAGCACTGGTCAAGATGTTAAGGTAAATGGATTTCTAGACAGGATGGAAGATGAGATTACTGAGCATTTTCTGCAGACAGTGGCTTCTAAAGTCAAGGTATGGGAAACCCACATTAATACTGAATATTTTCAGACTGTAAGGCAGACACGCACTTCACTCTCATGTCCTCATTTGGAAGGACTGAAACCATAGTTTGATCTTCAGGCCCAGTGCCCTCCTCTGCCTTGTCTGAAGCTGTATATTGACAGCTTCATCTTTTCCACTTTTTGGAATCCCAGTTCCACTGTTGGTAGTATTTGCTGTTGTGCTACAAATGGGCACCTCATGGTGTTCCCGAGCACCCAGACCCCAAGGGTTGAACTTCACCTGATACCTACTCATCCCCAGCGGCTGGGCATCTTCCCAGGGCAGTGATAACTCACAGAACCCAAGGCTGAGGTGGGTAGTCAGGATGTAGATAGAGAAGGCTGATCAGAAATATACCCGTCCCCTGGGATAAGTTCCGCTCCCTTCATACTTTCTAATATTAGACTATTGGCCCAGACACCCATATTCGTATCTGATGCTCCACGTCTAAATTGCACACAATTGCAGGCTCCTAATAGCATGTGGTTGTGTATGCTTCCTTGAGAAGCTCCCCTGAGCATCTTCAGGCTCATTGCACAGGCTCCCTCAAGCATGCTGAAGGCAGGAAAAAAAAATGGCAAAAGAAACTCTGGCTACACTGTGCAGCTTTGGTCTCCAGAGCTCATTGCCAGCCTGTCCCATTGGCCCACATGTCAAGGTGGGAGTTGGAGGTGGGCAACCCTGGGAAGGAACAGGAGACCCAGGTCTCAGGCTTTCAGTCCTTCTCTGACTGTGTCAATGTTGGCTTTGAATTTATGCCCTGCCTACCTTCTAAATGATCTCTGTACTTTCCCACTGCATAAGAGGCAACAGCCATGCTGGCAGCAGGGTGTCAGAGCAGAAGGGTGCAGAATGGCTGGTTCTTGCTCCACTCCCCATCCAGAGGGGCACATTTTACACAGTTCCCAGATTACACCTATTGTAACCCATTTTTTATACTTTTCAGTCTTCCAGGTTTGGTCTTAAGAACGTAACACATCCTTCCTAAGTTCGAATTGTTTCTTTCTTTAATGTTTTCTTTTCTTTGAAATGAAGGCACAGGATGCTGCAGCTCATGGGGGAGTCTGTTTCCGAAAGCAGAAAAAGCAAAAGCACAATAGTCCATGTTTGCTGTCTTTGTGGTGTCTGTACATGTGCACCCTTCGACTCTGTCTGCCCCTTTTCCTCAGGGAACACTGAAGGAGCACTTCAAAAAGTGTGACAGCAGTTTTCACCACATCCTTGAATCCTTAAAGCAAAGTTTTTTGGTATTTGGGAAGAAAAAAACAGGCACATATGAGGTAAGAAATAAGTAAGAAGGTAAGAACAAGATATTACTCAAGAAATTACCAAAACTAGTCCTTGAACCTCTGGATGGCACAGTATTGGAACATTAATCCAAACTACAGTTTTGTCTGTTTTTAAAAGAGCTTTTAAAGTGGTGTCAGTCCAGTTCCTCTATCCAACAGAGTTGGATATCGTCTTTAATCTGTAATCTCAGCAGAGAAACCAAGTGAAGAGGTGTGGAAAATGAATGTATCTCCCAAATAGAGAAGGGAGCATTGGGCCATCTCCGATTCTGCCATTGCCCCAGTAATATTGGAAATCTTCTCAGCTTTTAATGTGCTTTAACGTTTGTTATAAGGAGTATTTATGCCTTTGATGGAGAGTGGACACACAGAGAAGGGAAAGGGCCAGATTCCCAAAAGACATAGTCTCTCAGGCAAAGGGTTGGGAAAGAACAAGTTCACAGGGTACTTGAGTTTTTTCACCCTTAAGGTAGCCTAAAAAATTTTTCTAGAGTCTCACAGCACCCTTGAGTCTGTCTCTTTGATAATGAGATTGGTACCTGGGGTACTCTCTTTTCCACACAGGTTGGATTTGCTGCTGCTACCTGTGCCGCACATGTCCCCTAAGCACTGGACTCTCAGGTCTGCAGAGTCTTTGTCAGTGCTGATTTTAATTAATATTTTGATATGTGGAAAAAGGTAATGGAACAGAAAAAAAAAAAAAATAGAAGCTATCCTTTTGTTGTTCGTATCCTGACATTATGTAAGATTATGACAGATCACTGGACATTATGTCACATTAATGCTGGGGCAAACAGCAGCTTGGTAGTGGAGCACTGTGCCAGAGCTGTCCGTCTCTTGCTTTGTCTGTTTTGGACAGGGCTGGGGATTTCCTGTACCTTTGGACTGCAGCCTAACACTGCTTTGTTTTCAGCTGCTAATGAAACGTGGTTTATATGCAGCAGCCCATCTCCCCTTAGAAACCTCACTCTCCCTTTTGGGCACTGCATGATCTTGGCAATGGGGTTTCTCAGCAGGTAGTGGATGGCTCAGAGATGTCCAGGTGACTTCTCTGTGCCCAGCCACAACTGTGTGCCCAAAGGTATTGCCCTAGGCCGTGTCTGCTGGGGGATGATCCAGGGAGGCTGGATCTGGCTTTGTCTATAGACCAAGCTGTCCCCAGGTGATGTGTTTGTTAGCTAAGGCAAGTGTTGCTGCTGCTCTGGAGTGTCAGTGACCTTTGGGTCAGCTAACTGGTCCTATTGCTTTTGGTTGGATGACTCCACACTTACCACCAATGTTTATGTCATCCACATGCAGCTTGGAGATACTCCATGTATTAGACAAGGCATTTTAAAGGAATACTTAAGCAAAGAAACGGGACAGCCAGCTGCATGGACAGAATATCCACTGTCTACACTGGTCAGAGCCCTACAGGTATGATTTGGTGCTTGCTCAGTAAAGGGAAGTTAATCTATGTGTTTTTGCTCCGGAGCAGGCTCTTGTCAAGGCTGTCAACGCCATCATTATTGCAGAGTATGTGCAGGCCCTCCTGACCACTTCCAGGAAACTGTCTTCTGTGCAGAGGAGGAGGATTGTCAGCAAGATGGAAGAAGACCATAGGATGCTGCAAGACATCTTTAAAGAATGCTTAGTAAGTCTTTGATATGGTTACAGTTTTGCTCTCTGTCATCAAGAACAGTACCAGCAGAGGAAAAGGCTCTGAAAGCAACAGAAAAGCTTACAGGGTCTTACCACAGTGGCATCCAGCTTCACAGAAATGACAGTCAGATGTGCTGATGGCCCTTCTGATCTGCCAGAAGCTGTTAGTTTATAGTTTTGAAATGTATGACTAGAGGAGACAAGTTTCGCACTCCTGCCACTGACATAAGAATGAGGCGAATTCCTCTGAGCTGGTGTGACAGCTCCAAAGCTGTCAGCTCCCCCAGGCAAGCCTTGGTACATGGCATAGGGGTGCAGATGAGGAAGAGCTGTGTCTCTGCCAGTACTTCCCTTTGAGCCTCTGGACTGATAAACCAGATTAGATGCCCCACATCTTCACCTTCTCCGTGTGTTGCCCTGTGTGACTGCTCCTCCCTGGACATGGTGTTTGCGTTGTTGCCCTTCCGTCCAGCCTCCTCCCTGCTCCCGCAGGCCCTTCCCAGCCTCTCAGAGCTGAGCTGATTGATGCATGAGCCATTTTCCTGTGCTGCAGCATTTCCTCATGGGTGGAAACATGATGATGCTGTTGTGGTTGGTGATGGCTGCACAGGGAGGCATGAGTCTTCCTGCAGGGGAAAACTCACCATTAGGAGGTAAAGATGTATTGCAGAAGGGACAGATGGGGTGTAAAAGTCAAAGAAAACTTGCGGGAAAATGTTAGGTCTAACTTGTAGAAAAAACTTTGGAAGCTTAAAAAAGTCTCTTTGCTTAATTCATAATCTGGTGTAATTGGCAGTGCTGCACATAGCATCTGTGGATGCCACCAGGCTGTCACATGGGTCCGTTGATTACCCAAGGGCAAGGACTACAATGCCAGCAGCATCCCCCCCCTGCAGCCACTCAACCCAGCCAGAAAATCACTGCAGTGCAATGTGCCCTGGCACAGCCCTTTTATAAATGCAGGCTGAGAGTGCCCACGTAGCGCCTCATAAGAGGCTGGACTGAGCACCACACTAATGGTTGCAAAATCAGTCTGGTAACAGGACTCAAATGTGACAGAGGAGATAAAAGAATACAGCTTTACTGTTTTTTTATACTTTCAAAAATCCCGAGTCATTTTCATAACTCATGAATTTAAGTGCTAGGGACTGGAAATCTATTTTTGCCCATTTGAGTGCCCCTGCAAGTCATTTGTCAACAATTCTTACTTTGTCCAAAGAATAAAATGAAATTGAAATGATCATCTGTAGGCTCCTTTAAAAAGCTGTCAGACTCATTACAATTAATGCATTAGTTTCATGGTGGAAAGCTGGAAGCTGCCAGTGCTTTTAGCTGAAGACCCACCTCTCCTGGAGTGATCAATCACAGATGAGTCAATGCTTTGAGCAATTGAACCACTGGGAATAGCAGGAGGATTCTCTAATCTTAACTCTGAAGTTTACCAGTAATGCTGCGCTCAGCATCAGCTTTGGATGTAATGTGCAAGGAAAGCTGGTCTACTAAACCCCTAGCTTCAGCTTGGGTGGAAAAAGTCTTCATCTAGTTAGCACTACTTCCCATGCGTCCCCAGCCTGTTTGCTTTCTTACTTGAAGTGGGAGGCTTGATTTGCAGGGGACTGCCTGATCCTCACTCAAATGAGGTACATGGTTATGCATGCAAAATATGTACTCTGCTATGGACAGAATTTATCGTGCAGTTGCTGCACAGGCTGCACCTGCTCCCTGCCCTGCTCTGCCCTCTCTTCAGGCTCTTCCTTCCCCTCCGTCCTCAAACACATTAGGTAATACCTTGCTTCTCTCTGATGAGCAGTATGTGTCAGAGGCACTTAAGTACTGCTGACAAGACACCTCTTTGTTGTCCTTTTAGATTGCAAACTGTTTACCTCTGACCTTGCCTGTCTATATAGTGCTTAATGAAATCTGACAACTTCAAATTAATTAGCATTTTGTAATAGTGAGCTTGCCAAGTATGAAGCTGTGCAGTATCGGTGCCTTAGGAGCTGAGTGCAGCTTGTGCGGTGTGCAGAGCTAGACGTGCTGCGTGTCTGCAGTGCAGAGGAAGAGAGAGAACAATGTCTTTGGATATTGTTATTAATATTTTCAATTTATATTAAGTGCAGAGGTAAGCCCCACAGAGAATATGGCCTGCTGTTTCTAATGCCCCATGGAGATCAGGGGAGCCTGGGCTTCTCCTGCCCCAGTTTGGCAGCCTGTTCTCCAGGTTTGCTTTGTCACAGAGTCTCTGTTGACGTGATGGCATCAATAATTCAGGAAAGCAATTTAATCGCATTACTGCACCAATGAAAAACGTGGGCAAGACCTGAAGCTCTCTCTCGGCAGTTCATCTGCATTCTGCTTTATCCAGCTTTGCTAAAAATGCTGTATGTTTCTTGGTGAGGCTTTCTTCTGTGTGCTCCAGTTTAAACAGAGCTGACCATATGCATCTACCATCCATGTCATATCCTTTATGGAGTCCAGCCCTGCTTCCCATTTTTTCTGTTTTGCTGATAGAGGATCTGGTCCCCTCACTCTCTCTCCAAGGTCGATTTTCTGTCCCTGGGCTTACTCCAGGGCAGCAGAAATGCCAGAGTGTCTGGCCAACAGAGCTTGTTTTCACATAGGTACAGGGCTGTGCTTACTTCTGGAAGCAAAACACTTCCCAAAGGACAAAAGGGCCTTGAGAGGACAGGCAGTGTAGGGAATAATATGGAACATTTGCCTGCTTTGCCACAGGAAATGCAGGAGGGGATCCTGCGCTGCAGAAGGTAGTCACCCAGCCCTGGAAGAAGTTTGTGGCTACACCCCAGTTTCTTTTCTCCTATTCTAGAGGGAAATCAGGCTTCTATACATGCAGACAGGCCTGCAAAGCTCCTAACCCATGCAGCAAGATCCTCAGTCTAATGCGAGTCCAGCTTTTAACATGTGTGCAGCTTTCCTTGCCCTGAGCACACCTTTACTTCTCTCCCCAGGGTCCTGCAGCTGGTCACCTCAAGGATCCTATACAAGCAATTTTAGAGCTTATTCAAGCTTCTGATTCTGAGAGGATGAAAATAGCCCTTTTGCCTATTCTCAGAGAATTTCCTGATCTAAGGTAAGGTGTTTTATTGGTTTGACTTCTGCAGTTCCTTGCATGATTACTTGCCACCAGAAGACCTACAGCAATATTAGTCCTGTGATACATTTAGCAGTGTGCTCAGCCAGGCACAATGTTTACCTTTGAATGTACTCAGTGCTGCCTATTTGCAGATGCTGATTAACATGGTTTATAACATTGACAGACATTAACCGGTGGAGTTGAGTTGTCCTTCTGTAAAGGTGAAGGCTTGATCAAATGGTTGTCAACAAAGCAGGAGCGCTGTGGAAAAATACTACCTGAATGGACAATTTACAGGCACATGTGTGCCACATATAGGTTTCAAGAGCATCCTTAACTCAGGCATTTCATAACTTCCAAGTATTTGGCATTTGGCTTTAATACTTCACCAACCCTTTTCTAGGTATAACTATTTCCACGAAATTCTAGGTGTATTCAGCAAGAATATATACTTCCATTCCCACAGGAAACTGTTAACAGAAAGGAAACCCAGTATTTATTAGAGAAGGTGAGATCTTAGTAACTGCATTTGTTCCAAAGTCTGTGGTTTCTTACACCTATTTTTTGTTCTGATGTCTTGTGCTGGTGACTGTGTTTTTCCAACTGTCGTGGTTTAAACCCAGTCAGGTAATTCGTTCGCTCACTTCCCCCCCTTTCTTGCCCTCCCCCTGCTCTCGGAGGGACGGAGAGGAGAATCGAAAAGAATGCAACTCCCACGGGTTGAGATAAGAACAGTTTAGTAACTAAGGTATAACACAGATCACTACTGCTACCGCCAATGATAATAATGATAAAGGAAATAACAAGGGAAGAGAATACATCATCTCACCACCAGCCGACCGATAACTCGCCCCCCAGGCCCAACCAAGCTCCAACCCTGCAGTCCCCCAGCCCTTCCGGCTAACTCCCAGTTACATCCTCGGCATGACGTGCTGTGGTATGGAATACTCTTTGGTGTTTGGGTCAGGTGTCTGTGTTTTGGCTTCCAGAGCATGAGGCTCACAAAGTCAAACCTATTATCAGCTCTGTTCCCAGCTGAAAGTCTCTCACCAGCTACCAAGTGACTGCTACAGGATGATTACAGTGTGCAGGATGCTGTGAAGGTCAAAAGTGTGAATAGCTTCAAATGGGAAGCAGACAATTTGTGGTAGATAATTATTTCAGTGCCTATTCAACATGACAGGCATGGTGTAACCCCCAGTAAAGGAATTCCCTAAACTGCAAACTGCCAGAAGCAAAACCCCAAGAAACACAGAGATCATGTTATGCTTCATCTGGTTTCTGTATTCTTTTCCTACTTTTGAAGATGCTATTGAGTAAAAGCTGCTTATGTGATAGAGTATAGCAATTCTTATTCTCTTGCATATATATACACACATATATATAACTATATATTTATATATAGTTATATAGCAAGTGGGCATAGAAAGTACTCAGAAGATTATTTTGATCCAGATCTCAGAGGAGGTCATCCTGGTGTGAGTAGATGCACAGTTCTTGATTTCAGCAGGTTCCTGTATGTTTAAAATTGTTTGGCTTGGATACAATTGCCCTGTTTGTTAACCAGACTAAAATGTGTGGCCACACTCAGCAAAGCAATGCTATGTAGAGCAAAAGTCTTAGAACCTTCCAGATGAACAAAATGTAGCTCCGTTTGAAAAGATATAAAAAATGCTTCCAAATGGTCAAATGCAATCTTTTTCTAGGAGAAACCTAAACTGAAGATTCCTTCAATTTCATGGGGATGCTGTGGGCACTAGGCTTGGCACTCATGAACTCAGCCATATCTCACAGAGCTTTTGTGATATGGCCTCCTCCTTGTTAGGTGTCCAGTAGGTGTCAAAAAGCAGCTCAGCAGTTTCCAATCTTTGGTCTGGTCCAGCAAAACTGAGTGTTAGAAAGCAAGATTTTTTCCTTGACTCGTTCACTGACCTGCCTTCTTAACCTTTTGGAAAGGAAGGAACATCTGAATGCAGTGCTGAACATCAAAGTTTCGCTCAACCGAGAAGACAGAGCTGCTCTCTTGGAGGCATTTCATGATAATTGCAGGGACTCAAAACCAGGAGTGAACTTGCTTTTTGCAGATATAGAATTGAAACCTGGAAAATATGGACTCTGCGCCTGCCTCTGCTGTTAGCAAAGGTAGGTGTGTGAGTGTAAGCATGCTTGTGTGTAACACGCATACCTGTGCAGGCATAGGCATTCCTGCTTACAGGGAGGTGGAATGACTGTGTCTGTAGCAGCACCTCCCAAGGTCCTCATTGCTGTATACACTGGTTCTACTTCCCTCTCTCTGCCTGCAGATTTCTATGTCATGAAGCATCATGTTGTAGGCAGTGCAGGATGCTGAATGCTTAGATGTGTGATTCAGGTTACAGCAGGGACAGAGAAGATGACAGGGCTCCCTGTCCCTTGCTCCCGTCTGTGTGCCTCCACAGCAAGGTCTCTTCACAGCATCCCTTCCTTCCCAGCTCTTACCATGTGTGCATGGGCAGGGTCTCCCCGGCAAACGCTGCTGCCTCCTGGCAGGGCGTGCTGTCGGATTTTCTCCTCAGTGGTCTTTCTGCTTCCCTGGTGCTGAGGGAGGGATGTGCGAGCCTCACTGCAGCCCCCTCCACGACAGCTGCATTAATTAAGCTGGGCTTGCTCCTGTTCAGGTGACTGTGCTGCAAGCACCAGAGGTGAGCGTGTTCCCTTCATGCGGGCAGCAACAGCCGGTGGCAGAAAGGAGGAGGGATCAAAGTCAGAGGGATGACTGTCACTATAAGGTCTTTAATCCTCTGGCATGAATTGCCAGGGCATATTTGGATCACCTGCAATCACCTCTTGGTTTCCCAAGTGATTCCTTCTCAGTCACAAATTGGGCTTTTTTTCTGGGGGGGCGGGAGCAAGGGGGTTAGGGGATAAGCTGCAGCAGATCTTGAAACTAAGCTGGTCCTGAGGATTTAAAAATACTTCTTAGTGGAGAACATGCAGCTGTTTGCTTCACTTTGAATAATCTGCAACTTCGTTTTAGTCCAAATTTGCCCAGCTCCAGCTAAGAGCCAGAGAATCTTGTGTTATCTTTGCCAGGCCAGAACCTTCAGCTACCAGAAATAGTTCCCCCTTGGTTAATATTTACAGATTGTTGCCAGTCACCTTCTGTTAGATAAACTGACTAGACCGAGTATCTCAGGTTGAGAAGCACAATCCCTTTCCACCTCTTCCTCTGCTCTCTGGTGTCACCATTTATTTATAGCTCCCCATATTGATGGATGAGGGATGAGTTATGCTGAGCTCTGACCTGAGGCCTCCAGGTACAAGCAGGCAGCAGGCTACCATGGTCTCAAGGAGAGAAAGCAATTAGAGAAACTATTAATAAGGACACAGCTTTCCCTTCCTAATCAAGACTGATTGGGATATAATGAACTCGCTATCAGCCACCTCCTTTTATACCCTCCTTTAATCAGGAATTACCCATGGCATCACCTTCACTTTAGAAGAGGTATTCAGGAACGTCTTTTAAAACACTGTAAATCAGATAATCTCCTATTTGCTGAAATCCCCTGGGTAAATAGGCTCTCAATCCCAGAAAACCTGGCTGAGTCTGCAGTGTAGCGGAAGCACGTGTGTGGCACAGGTTGGCAGCTTCATCCAGGCTCGGGGATAGCAGTAGTGTTGAAAGCAGTTCTGGGATGTGCTCAAAGGAAGGTCACCTTCCTCCTTCCATCCCAGCCCTGTGATTTTGCTGTTCCACTCTGGGGTGACCTGCAGGTACATTGGGGATCCTCTGCTTTCTCCCAGACAGGGACACAGTAGCTGCTCACATTTGTCCCTTCTGTATGTGGAAGTGGGAAACCTTTGGAAAAGTGTTGTCTTTAACTGTTTCATGTTAGCATGAAATGACCTCCCAGAAGAGGAGTGAGCTGGTTTGGCTGGCGTGGGCAGGAAGCAGCAGGGATGCTGCCCACAGCTGTGGGCCCATTGATTACGTTAGCTGGCATAGCCCAAGAACTGGGGATTTTCAGCAGGTAAATGTTGATACAGCTACATGCAAGACCCTGTGCATAGAAGCAGTGCTGTCTCTTGCACATATTCTGCTGAGCACTTAATTACCCAGCATTTTTCTTATTTTCCCTCAGGCCTGCTGTGAGAAACGTGAAGTTTCACTCCATGTGCAGTGTCTGCAGTCACAGCTCCTTGAAATCTTCAGTGACCCATGCAGCCTGATGTACAGAGAAACCTGACAGCTATGGAAGACAATTCCTGCACTTCTGCAGGAAAATCAAGAGGCCCAAATCCTAATCTTCTATGCAGAGTCCATGTGGAAGGTGAATGGAATATGGCAGAAAGATATTCTTAGCTGAGTCCTGCTAGTTATTCCCAGGATGTGGTGGGTGGTGAGTGGAGGAGGAGGATGGTCCCCCCTTGATAGATTTCTCTCTGCTTCCATCCCTTGTTTCATGCACTCTCATGTAAAACTAGGGACTGCTGCAGCACAGTGTCATGGCAGATGACATGGCAACACAACCTTCACCAGCAACCCGGGACCCTCTGTTAGGGAATCCTGCCTAGCCCATAGTTCTGGTGGTGCCTGCAGGTTTGGGCACCTAGATCCACACCCCCAAAGCCCTGCACCAGCGGGCTGCAGACAGAGCTGCCTCTTTTCTTGCTCCCCACACACGAAGGCTGTGACCTCCTTTGGGGGCACCTTGCCATGGCACTGGCTGTGGGATGAAGAACTCTTCCCATATGAGTTTTATAGCACTGGAGCAGAGTCTTGCATTGATTTTTATACCTCAGTTACTGGAAATTTCCTTTTGGAGAGGGAGGGGAAAGCCTCACAGGCAGCAGGCAGTGAAAGGAGATGTTTTTCCCAGCCTCTGGGTAAGGTTTGTGCTGTTTTCAGATGTAAATAGGCAGTTCTCCTGGGAAAACACTGACTTTTCTTCCCAGTTATCTATGGATTGGTCACAACCTCCAAGCTGGATTTGGTTCAAGGTCCTTGTTTGCTATTGTGTTAATGTAGGCCATTACTGCTCCTCTCTGGCCATGTAAACAAGCAACAAAGCTCTCCTACCTCAGCAATGCCACTGCTTTTCTGGGCAGCCATTCCCCCTCAAATCTGCTTCCCTAACAAGAAAAGGGGCAACATGTCCAGGGAGTCTCTGTGGGCTTTTGGGGCACCATGAGAGGGCAACAAGAGCTGTCCTGTGCCCTTCCTGATTGCATGCCTGCCCCAAAGGCCCTGCTGCCGTGTCCTTTGCAGTTTATAGCTGTCCATTGCTGCTTCAGTGACACCTTTGCTGGACATGGGGAGCTGGTGGAGCTGCAGCCTGGCTGTGGGATGTGAGTCGGGCTGTGGAGCTGGGTGGACCCTGCCTTCCAAGGGTGCCAACTCTGCCGTGCACCCTCCTCTACCACCCATGGCACATTCAAGAGTAGGAGGGATGATGGAGTCCCCTGCGACAGTGGGGTCAGAGTCAGCTTCTGCCAATGGGAATTTCAAGCAATGAACCCTCGAGAGAAAATAAAAGCTCCTTTGACATTTCAATCATTTAAAATAATGCCACAGCACGTGAATGGCTCCTGCCACATACATGTCTCTGTCTGTGTAACATTTCTGCCATTTGACATTCATGGTCAGATGAGGGTATGTTCTGCTTACAAGCAGTGGTTGGTAACCATAGGGAATGCTGGGCTTGGCACTACTGACCTGAAATGAGATGGATGAGGACCAGCCTCGTGCTATCATGACTGCTGCTGTGCCTATCCTCCCTGGCTGGGCAGGGGATGGGCAGCACTTTCTACTGTGTGTGTGTGTGTGCAGAGGAGCGCTGTTTTCAGTAAGGTTTCTTAGCAACAAGTTTCTGCACCCTGTGTGTAGCATCCAGTCATGAAGAGACTGAGTACAGACTTGAATTTGCCCAGGAGGTTTAGCACTGGCGGCACATGAGGTTTTCCAGAGCCAGAGGGTCCAGGGACATTGGCTGGGATGGACATCTGGGTGATGGGGAGATGCCACCTGGTGTGGAGGCAGATGGTGTGGGAGGGATGTCCTCATCCACCTGCAGGTCGTGTGGGGAGAACAGATGGTGTGTGTGGAGGCTCCGGGTGGGTCCCTGGGTGGGGAGGTGGTGGCCGAGGGGATGCTGGGTCCCTTTCTATGCTATCTGGGGTGATCAGAAGGAGAGGGAGGCTATGGGGAAGGAAGATGAGGGATTTCCCTTCTTTGGGGGGATTTTAAGCCGCTCCACTGTGTGCCCTGACCTTCCCAAGCTGACCCAGCCTCCTCCTTCCTAGCCTTCACCCTAAACTGGGGTTAAAGTGCTCGGGTGGGATTTGTGCTGCTCTCTGAAGAGGGATGGGAAGCAGGGTCACACTCAGGATCCTTCTGCAGGATTATCTTGTGGCCTCAGGATGTGGGCAGGAGCAGCACTGCTTTTGCCCTCAGCCTGCCATAGAGCCATGCTGAGCATTTCCTACTTGCCTTTATGTCCAGAGGCTCCACCATTGCAAGCAGAACAGCATCGTTCAGAGCTCAGCAACCAGAGGCTCCCTGCACAAAGACCCCCTCCCATCCTGGGTTTCACTGGGATCCCCTTGGTGTCAGGGTCATGCCACTGCCATGCTCACCCGTCACCTGGATGTGCACTGGGCAGCACGGAGTGACACACTGCTCCTGGTGGTTTGATGCTCCAGCTTTTTTGGGAGCTGCTTTCTGTCCATCACCCCTCTGGCTGTGCACCAGGCCAACAGGTTGTGTGGTGAGCAATGATTTGTCACCCATGTTCCCCACACTGCTTGGGGCCAGGGTTTGGCTGGGTGCTTTGAAGTACTGCGTGCGGCAGAGCCTCACCAGCCTTCCTGTCATCTGAGCTCCTGTCTTGGAGGGTCACCTTCAGTGCTCGGTACTGAGGACAGAGGAAAACAGACACTTCTTAACTATGCTGCAAGGTCTGAGGAAAGACCTGACATTTGCTGAGCTGCCACCTGAGCTTCCCAGGTTTACTTAGTGGCTCTGCCAAACATGTGTGACAGTGAATGGAAGGCTTAATGGTGAAAAAAACAGGTAATACTGAGGACCTGGGACATGCTTGAGCTCTGCTGGATAGCAAATGAGGAGAATCAATGCTTAAAACTGTGAAACCTCAGAGAAGGCAAGCTGACTGCAAAATGTAATAAATTGTATTTTATTCCCTTTCATCCCCACTCCCAAGGGGAGCCTGTCCATTGTTGGAAACTCATACATTGATCCCAATAGTAACCAGAGCAACTTGCATCCACCTTTGGGGCTTTCCTGTCCCACTTCGTGCTCTGCCAGCACACAGCTGCGGAGCAACGCCTGGCCCCTGGGTGGGAATGGCAGCATGACAAAAGCCACAACAGGCAGTTCCCCCACGGGGAAACACCCAAAACCACCGCTGAAGGTTTGATTTTAATGCTTGAATATCTGCCTTAGCCCCAGCACGCCATGGTCCGTGCGGGACGGAGGAGAAGGCACCAGCATCTCTTGCTCTGCACCAAGGGCTGGGCTGGGTCCCCAGGTTTCCGCAGTGGCTCTGGGGACACACCGGGCAGGGAAGGTACACGCGTGGTGCCATCTAGTGGCACTGGGACACGGAAAGGGCCGTGGCTCTGTGTTTATTGTTTGTATTATTGTTATGGGGCATTACCGGGGTATATGCCTGTGTGGGACAGCAATGGTGTGGGCTGTGAGTGTCCCCTTTCTGGGGTGTGAGACTAGCAGGAAAACAGAAAGTTGATAATTCTGGTGTAAAGTAGGGTGCACAGCACATGTAGGTATTTCTGCCAGCAGAATAACTAGTGGTTTTGTGAGTATATTGTGAAAGAAAGTGGTGAGCAGAATCGTCAGGATATGTCTTGTGCTTTATAAAACGAGCTTGTGGGTGTAAGGAGGAGAGGTCCGGAGGCAGCACTGCAGGGCTAGACCCCAAGGAACTGATTTCTTCCCTCTCCACAGCAGTCAGGTTTCCTGCAGCAGTGAAGGGCTTTAGGAGAAGGTTTTAGTTGGCAGTCTGACCTAAGACCATATTGACAGCAGAAGATGAGTTCCTACCCTCACCCCCAGGTCTCTTCCCACTACCTCCATCATATTGGCTCTTGGAGTTGGCTCCACTTCTGTGACAGCCTGTGTCTGCCTCATGCAGCCTGTGTGGGGCCATTACATACTGCCCAGATGGGCTGTTCTAAAAGGGGTGCCAGTCTGCAAGCAGTTAAAATAAATGGCCTGGTTTAAAAGAACTGTTGGGAAAACCCCTGTGTTCAGGGCTGGGACAAAGCATTTGCAAGAGCTTTTGCAAGAGCAGACTGTTTGGAGTATTTTGTTGTACCATATCCTTGCAGAAGGATTGGAAAAAAAAAAATAGAACAAATCTTGCTTCACTGATGAGTGTCAGATCTTTTCCTTCACTGGTTTATACCCTCCAAACTTCTCCACACTGATCTTTTGTGCCTAACAAAATGGGCTTGTGCTATGCCAAATGATATCATTTTATTACACTCCAACTGCCCAGTACTGGGAAAGATCTGAATCTCCATTCCCAGCCACAAGCTGCAGCTCCTGCTGATGCTGCCATGTGATCCAATAGCCCATTTTGCTCCTGTCTGCCAGGGTCTCATCCAGCAGAACAAAACCTGGGAGGGAGAGCTGGATCTGCAAGGTGAAGGATGAGCCCATGCTGAGCTGGTTTTGCAGCCCACAAAGGAGCTGGGATAGCCTCTAAACATGAGTTCTTTGTTAAAAGCTTGTGGAAGGGGAAAAGCAGTTCTGTGCACAGGCTGCACTCTGCCTGATGCGAAGTACCCATGTATAGAGCATCATTGGCATTGCACAAGGCTGGATAGTGTGATTCTGCGACATATGTTAGCAGCCTCGCCCTTGCTTCATGGGTGACTACACACCAGAAATGCCCTGGTGTAGGTGACAGCACCCGCCTGTGCTTGCAGCTCTGGGCTGTGGCCACCAAGGGCACTCTTGTCGCCCCAGGTCTGAGCTGCTCCTTTCACCCACCGGTCTCCCCACTGCAGCTCCAGGCAGGGCTGTTTGGGCAGGGAAGCCAGGGCCTGGCTTGGCACTGGTCTGCTGGTGGGGCTGGTCTGCTGGTGGAACTGGGGAGGCTGGGGGCTGCCACCTGTCCTGGGTGCCTGGGCACAAGGCTAAAGCACAGGCTGCAATGGGCAGCACGCAGCCACAGCTGCAGCACTTGTCTGCAGCTTGGGCCTGTTCAGGGTAGGGGATGGGAAAGCGCCGACCCCTCTCCTATATTATACTGTGACCTGTCTATATGTAACTATACTGGGAGACAGCTCAGGCACTTGTGGGGTGGACGGACATCTCCTGGTGTGCCCCCACCCGTCAGCAGTTTGCATCCCTTGCATGTGCACTGATGCCTGCTGGGGCCCACTCAGCCAATACCCCATGTGCTTGTGGATGGGGGGTCTTGCTGTAAGCATGTTTCATGACCCTTTCATTATGAATCTTCTTTCACAGGTTGTCCAGGTGCTTGGGATTTGGCCCTGAGCTGGCTGACAGGACACACGGGTGTGGGCTCTGACAGTTCTCTTCTGGAGCAGCAGCATGAAGGGAATTGTAAAGACCCTCTGCTAAGGTGTGACCCTGGGCTTGGAATGCTGCAACCTTCCCTGTCAATAGGGTCTGGTTTTACCCCTTAGCCCTGTGCCAGCGCTGCCCTGACAGAGGGGCTGCTCGTTGTGGTCAGCTCTCAGGGCAGACTCCAGACACAGCCCTATGTGTAGTCACCTCGCTCCCCAAACCGAGGAGGTCTGATTGCCCCAGCCTGTAGCCAAGCTGCCTTGGGTCCCCCTTGGAATGCCTTTTCACCGCCGCTGAGGCACCCGTATCAAGCTGGGAGCTGCCACTAGATGGGGGTAAAACCTGCGGGAACCCAGCAGTGTGAGCTCGCAGTCCTGAAACCAACCGCGTGCTGGGCCGCATCACCGGCAGCGGGTCCAGCAGGTCGAGGTAGGGGGTTCTCCCCCTCTGCTCTGCTCTTGTGAGACCTCCTACTGCAGTACTGCATTTAGCTCTGGGGTCCGCAACAGAAGAAGGACCTGTTGGAGCGAGTCCAGAGGAAGCCACGAAGATGCTCAGAGGGCTGGAGCACCTCTGCTGTGGAGACGGGGCTGAGAGAGCTGGGCTTCTTCAGCCTGGAGAAGAGAAGGCTCCCGGTACACCTTAGGGCAGCTAAGGTCCAGAAGGAGCGTGGAGTTGGCAGCAAAGTTTGTTCATTCACAACGTACGAGGAATCCTTGAGCGAGTGAGTGGTTTCCAGATAGTGATGGGGGAAAATTTGCCATCACACAACCAGGGCTTGGTATCAAAGCCAGCATGGAGCTGAATTTCCCTGATGACAGCCATGCCTTGCCTTGTATTCCCTTAACTTGTTTGAGGGCCAACATCTTGCGTAGCCGCAGTCTTTCCTAAATTAAGCTATGCTGGTTCCTTCAGTCCTTGCTCAGACGCCACGTTTCTGGACTATCAGTCATTCTCTCTCTAGTGTTTTGGACTTTGGAATGCCAAAAGCTGACGCTGTACAGTAACTGAGTTCCGAGGATGGCAGCTGGAGAGGGGAGTTTCTCTCCATGTTTCCCAGGTGCCACTCCTATTTGCAAGTCACAGCTAGAAAGTATTCACAGTGTTGACACAACCTGTTCGTGGCCCTTCATTACTCCAGAGTGTTCGGTTTTTTGCAGACTCATGACTGGGCAGGCAGTTTCCTCCCTGTATTTGTGCAGTTGTTCAGTTCGGTGTCCTTGCTGTGTGCTCTTCTTGTCCTGGTTGAATGGCATCCTATCTATTTTTTTTCTAGATAACTCCAAGATCACATCCTGTCCCCCCCCGCCACCACACTTGCAGTCCCTGGATCTCTCGTGAACATCCTCTGCATTTCAGCATCCAAACCATGAATAAACCTGGCTTAGACTAGTCCCATGGACTCACACTCAACACCTTATGGAGTTTTGCTCTGATCATGGATCTCCATCCAGTTTCATGGCTGATCCCAGAAGCATTGTAAGAGGAGATCCCCAGCCCAAGTGCTGTATGCCCAGAGATCTGTAGCACTCCCCAGACTTGCACCAAGCCATGGCTAGCAGTGACACCCCTCCTGCTCCCCTGCCTTATGCCTGCTGACACTGTCAGGGGCAGCACTTGACACTGGCAGTGACCACAGTTCCTGCCGCACTTATTTACATGAATGATGATGGTGTCAGCAACCTTAGTGAAGAGTCCCAACATCTGCAGCTGCTCTGCTTTCAGGGAAGAGGTGCTCCTGTCATGGAGGGAAAGAGAAAAGATTTATGCAGAACAAATTTGATTAGAACAATCTTGTTGTATTGCCTTGGTATCCTTCTCATGCTTTAAAACTCTTTAATTTTACCAATACTTTATTAAGAAATAATCCCAGGATTTATTCTAACTCTAACTATTCTATGAATCTATGATTCCTTCCCTCTTTTAAGGTCAGCACTGCTTGCTCCTGCCCAGGGAGCCACCTCACTCTTGGCCATCACTGTGGATGGCTGAGAGATTGCTTTGACCAGTTTTCCAAACATGCTGCACTGGGACAGCTGGGTGGATGGAAGCCACCTCTGGCACACTCCCGTTTATTCAGCCTGCAGTTGGAGGTACTGTTTGTTAGCATTAACTTATTTCATTTATTTTTTTTTTGGCAGCAGTGTTGGCATAAGCAGTGTGTCCCCCGCTGCTGGTGCTAGTGCAGCTGTGTGGGGCTGGGGAGGTGGCAGTGGTGATAGGGGTGACAGGGACAGCATAAGCCAAAGCTGCTGATGG